TACACAGAACAGGCATGAATTAGAACATTTTTACACGTACAAGTTAGCGACATCCTTCCAACTGTAAAGGCTTCCTCACCCTCATTTTCTGTTCGCCCCCATTAACATAATCTCACTTCCTTTCAAGTGTCCTATTTAACATTTCAAATGCTATATAGTTAGATGATCCAAGACAGACAGTTCTTTAAAGGAGCACAATGCTTGAGATAGTCATTCTTTATTAATTGAATCAAACTACTGTTTGGTTTGAAGAAAATGTAAGGAGATATGACTGGTTTAAGATTTAAAGGGCAATAGTTTTAGGAGTTCATCTGGCCCAAGTGACTCCAAAAAATCAAGAATCCATGAGAATCTGAATTTTGTTTTAATTCCTCTTTTGGATCAAGACAGAAAATCTTTGATTATAACATTCAACAATGATAGCTGGGCATCATCTAGTTTTTCCGTTCTCATGAGAAAGGAAGCAATTGCCTTTGTAGGTAATTAATCTTGCATTCCATTTCCTCCTCTGACTCATGACTCTCCTCCTTCTGTTGTTCCAAGTGAATACAAAGGGATTATCTACATGGAATGGATGGCTTCCTTCAAGCTTTTAAAAGCTTAAGATCTTAATATTCCAGGCACCGAACTCAGAGGAAAACCAAAAGTTCTGAGAAATTTTAGTCTTTATAACTTTATTTGTACTAGTCTTTCTACAAAATAAGAGCATACCGTATTTGTCCTTTAGAGATTGACATTTCACTCAGCAAAATGTCGGCCCCAATCACTGAGCCGCCGCCGAGGACTCAGCTGCCTCCCCCTCGAGGCCCCTCGCTTCCCGACCCTCCGTCCCCCCTGCCTCCCTTCTCCCACCACCGCCTTCCGCAGGCCGTTTCCACTGAGGAAAAGGAATCGTATCGAGGAAAAGGAATCGTATCGTATGTCCACTATGCAGAACCTCCACTCTTTCGACCCCTTTGCTGATGCAAGTAAGGGTGATGACCTGCTTCCTGCCGGGACTGAGGATTATATCCATATAAGAATTCAACAGAGAAACGGCAGGAAGACCCTTACAACTGTCCAAGGGATCGCTGATGATTACGATAAAAAGAAACTAGTGAAGGCGTTTAAGAAGAAGTTTGCCTGCAATGGTCCTGTGCTTGAGCATCCAGAATATGGAGAAGTAATTCAGCTACAGGGTGACCAACGCAAGAACATATGCCAGTTCCTTGTAGAGATTGGACTGGCTAAGGACGACCAGCTGAAGGTTCATGGGTTTTAAGTGCTCGTGGTTCACTGAAGCTTAAGTGAGGATTTCCTTGCAATGAGTAGAAAATTTCCTTTCTGTCCCATGTCACAAGTTTAAAACTTCACAGCTTGTATAATGTAACCATTTGGGGTCCACTTTTAACTTGGACTAGTGTAACACTTTCATGCAATAAACTGAAAAGAGCCATGCTGTCTAGTCTGGAAGTCCCTCATTTAAACGGAGGTCAAGCAGTAGGCACCTGACAGTGCTCCGCCTGAAACAAAGCAATAACGTGATGTTTCAGCCAAACTCAGATCCCCAAGATCGTAGATGGCTATGTCTAGCCCAGAATGCCCCTACTCCAAAAGAAGGCCAACCCAGCACCTGAGTACCCCTAGATGGAGCTGAGAGGATGGGGTGAGGCTGCTGTACCCCTAGAAGGAGCTGTGGTAACAAAAGATCATTGGTGTCTTCAGACCAGCAAAGCAGGCAGAGCTTAGGAGTGAGATGGGACATCTCTCTGCCACCAGGGTCTTAGTTCTTTCTGACCAGACATAATCCTGAAGCCTTGTCTGTCCCAGAAAACACCAGGATGTGAGGCAAACTTCAGAGTTAAACTTTTGACAAGGGAACAAGCTGACATCAGTCCTAGCTAGCTGTAGAGCTTGCAGCTTGATAGCAACAGCGGCCCAATGCCCTGTGAAGGAACAACTTGTTCTCCCACCACCACCCTTTTCAGTTTTAATGTTATGTATTTAAACTTATTTAAATAAAATTTGTTTTCAGAAAAAAAAAATGTCTTCAAGTTCTGCCAGAGATGAATGGCCCTTTGGTTAGTAGCACATCAGGTATGAACTGGGCCACCAGAGTGCTTTAATCTGCTGAAGAGGGAGTTGTTTCTCATGAATGGATGTTAGATTTGTGTGTGTGTGTGTGTGTGTGTGTGTGTGTGTGTTAAATTTTTATTTTCTATTGGTTTGCATACAAAGTTCGTATATATTGTGTTTCACACTATCCTTCTCTTACCTTGTATTTCATACAATCATTCCCATTGTATTTTATTAAAACACAATTTGATCTTGTCAAATGCTTTTTCTGCATCTATTGAGAGGATACTTCAAGTTTTCTTTTTAAACCTGTTACTGTGATGAATGACATTGATTTTCTAACGGTAAATCCAGCAAACATTCCTAGAATACACATATTTAGTCGGGAGGTATTATCATTTTTGTATCTTTCTGTTTTCAATTTACTAAAATCTTGTTAAGAATTTCTGCACATATGTTTATGGAGGAATTCTGTAGTTTCCCTTTCTTACAAAGTTTTTGTCAGAATTGGGTATCATAGTAATGCTGACCCCATAGACTGAATTGAGATCAGTTCCTTCCTCTCTTATTTTCTGGAAGACTTTATGTAAAATTAATACTTATTCTTAAATATTTGGTAGAATCCAGCAATGAAGCCATATGATGAGGTTTTCTTTGTGGAAAAGTTTTTACTATGGTAAAATAAAAATAAGATAAAACTTGCCAGCTTAACTATTTTTAAGGATGCAATTCAATGAAATGAATTACATATATAGTGTTGTGCAAGCATCGCCATAACCCTTTTCATCACTCCAAACAGAAACTCTTCATCCATTGAGCAATCATGCTCCATCCTGCTCTGTCCCCAGCTTCTTAAGACCCTTAGTCCATTTTCTGGCTCTATGAATTGGCCAATTCTAGACATTTCACATAGGTAGAATCATGCAGTATCTGTCCTTTTGGTTGCTTTAATTCTGTATGCTATTTTCAAGGTTTGTCTATGTTATTGCTTGTCTTCATTTGTTTTAATGTCTGAATAACACTCCCTTGGTGGCATAATGGTTAAAACTCATGGCTGCTAATTTCAAGGTTGGTGGTTTGAACCCACTAGCTGCCCCATCAGGGAAAGATGAGACAGTCCACTCTCACAGAGATAACAGCCTTGAAAACCCTATGGAATATTCTGTGCTGTAGGGTCATGTTGTTGTTGTTGTGTACTGTTGAGTCAGAACCAATCCTTCAGCAGGTTTTCAGAGACTGTAAATTACACAGGAGGAGACTGCCCATCTTTTCCCCACAGAGCGTGTGGTGGGTTCAAACCATGTTCCTCTGGATTGATAGCATCACTCCTTACCAGTAAGCCACCGAGATCAAGGTTTACAACAGTGGAGGGTCACCATGATTCAGAATGAAGGTGGGGACAAAGCCCCAAGTCTGGCCTCCCCTTTCTAGGTATCTTCCTGCTACGTATTGGCCTCTGCTTCTTCACAACCTTGGATGCTCTCTGATTCAGAAGTCGAGGCTAGCCTGAGACATTTAGTTTTCATGTCAAATTGTTTTGTTTTCTCAACTCACTGTGTCGTCATCCATTCAGTTCTGTCTCACGGCAGCCTTCCATCAGGGTTCTGAGGCTGTAAGTCCTCAGGGAAGGAGACAGCCCATCTTTCTCCTTCAAAGCCACTGGTCATTCAAACTGCCAGAGAGATGCCATCTTTGGGCAAGCAGTGTGACTCCCTGTGAATCACACCACCAGGCAGAGGTCAGCCTGGGAGCAGGAATCGACTCACAGCTGACCCTCCGACAGGTTCTCAGAGGCTGTAAACCACATGGCAGGAGACTGCCCCTCTTTGTTCTTTGGAGCAGCTGGTGGGTTTGAACCACCTGCTTTGGAGTTGGAAGTAGAAGTCCTTGCCCACTAGGCTACTGGAGCTCCCCATTTCATTTTTAAGATGAACATAAAATGTCTTAGTAAACTGTCTTCTCAATGCATGAACTGTCTCAATATTTCCATTATGGTTGTTCCATTACCACTAATCTAGTTTCCCAGAACCCTTACATTCTCACCTTTATTTGAAAACTATTGTTGGGCAATCAGTCTCATTTAAGTGATTTTTTTTTAAGGGAGCACAGTACTTATATTGTTGCTGCGGTGTATTGTCGAATTAGAACCAACCTAGAACTGACCTTCCAATGGGTTTTCAGAGGAAGTTTAAATCGCACGAGAGGAGACTGGTCATCTATCTCCCACAGAGCAGCTGGTGGATTTGAACCACATGTCTTTGGGATTGCAGTGCAGCCCCTTACCACTAGGCCATGAACAATAGTAATTTTTTTTAGTCAATTTCTTATTTAGCTACAAGGCAGCCTACCTGCAGAGCTGGTTTAAATTCAAGGCTTGAAGTGAATGTCAGGGCAAAAGTCTTAGGGAATTTTCCAGTCTCAGCCAGTTCAGTGGGTCTGGTTTTGTTTTAGGAATTGAAGGTTCTGCTCCACATTCTTCTCTTGTTCTATCCCAGTCATGGTCCTGGTTAGAACAGTGGGTATAAGCTCACTGCTGCTGAGTTGGAACCAGCGCACAGCTGACCTTTCACTGGGTTTTAGAGGCTATAAACTACACAGGAAGGCTGGCCCATCTTTCTCCTGAGGAGCCTCTGTGGACGTTGGAACCCAGCGTCTCTGCAGGAGGAAGATGAGCAATCGCCTCCTGTTCACTTTACAACCTCAGACACCTAACAGAAGGGCCAGTTCTAACCCAGTGGCAATGTGCGAGGAGTCTCCCATCCAGAGGCGGAGAATGGAAGGCCAGGTCAGGAACAGAATGCAGAACAGGACGGCCCGCACTGCTGTGAGCTGGCTTCTAAGAGCCCATTCAGTGCTAAGCTTCCATAATTATCTCACTAGAAACCTGCATAAATAATTGATACTCAACCTAGCAAGGGAACCTCACTAGTGACGCCTTTACTTACAATGGTCCTGCCTCCATGGAGACATTGACATGCGCTTGAATTTTCAAATCCTTGTGCATTTTAGGGTTGCAGGCTTGGCTGAAGTTGCCCAGGTAGAGTTGGCCTGGAATTATCTCAACAGGGTACGGCTCAAATGCATCCAGTTCCTGAGGTGGGGAAGGAGATGTGACTCAGCAGATGGGTTTAGCGAGACAGACCCAGGTCGGAGAGTCAGGCAGAGACCTTCGCTTCCAAGAATAACTTGGGGAAGGAGGCAGTGGACTGGCAGCCACAGAAGGACTGACCCCAGCATCGTGGTCCAGCGTGTGGGAGTTCAATCCGGACCCCTCCCTCTCCTTCACAGCACCCTTTGGACCTGGCCAGGTGTGCCAAGGCTAGATTCAAGAATCCAGTGGTCCAGAACTGTGTAAACCCAGCGAGGGCACAGGTGGAGCCAGGTTGCAGAGGGGCAGATGGTTGTTATTACAGTTGGAGGCCACCATTTTTTTTAAACAATAAAGTGTTATTGGTTCAGACAGACCCCATGTTTTATTAAAGTATGAATTCTGATAATTAAAGGTTTAAGGAGGTGGTATAACTGGAAACTGGTCGGGACAGAAGCTTTGCTGAATTTCAAGTCTAAAACTATAATCATAAAAAAAATAATAATAAAACCCTAAAATCATAAAAATCTAGGGAGCTCTGGTAGCCCAGTGGTAAGAAACTGCACTGCAAATCCAGAAGTGTGCGTTTCAAATCCACCAAAAGCTCTGCTGGAGAAGGAGGGGCAATCTCTTCCTGTACCAGTCAGATACAATTTGATGGTACACACACACAAAATAATAATTTTTTTTTAAAAGTAATTTCTTTGAAAAGCAAAGTGGCAGTGGAGATGCCTTCTGTAGTTCCCAAGGCGTGGACAGAAAGCACCAGGTGTTCACGATGCTGTGGGCCAGAGATTCAAGTTTTAACAGGGAGCAACATCTCTGGCCTTCATTCAGAGACGCAGCGGACGATGCCAGGAAAGGTGCTGGGATGTCCTGCACTGATGAAATCCATTGACTTGTCCACGTGGTGTTTCCTGATATGATCTGACTGTTGTTATGTGCTGTCATATTGGAACCGATTCATGGCTGACCCTCCAGCAAGTTCTCAGAAGCTGTAAATCACATGGGAAGAGACTGCCCTCTTTCTCCCTCAGAGCAGCGGTTGGATTTGAACTGCCTGCCTTAGGGCTGACGGTGCAATTTCTCAGCACTCGGCCACCAGAGCTCGCTGTGATCTGACTCAAAACCACTTTTCTCTGTCACCACTCCAAGGGAGGTACTTTGAGGAATGCTGACCTATGTCATTTCAAAAGTCACCACCAAGTCCCCAAGTCCTTGGGCTCCACGTCTGACTGAGAAATAGTGTTCTAAGTACCTCAGGCTATGTCACTGTCCCATCAGTCCCTTGACTAGCAGGTATACTCTGGATTCGGGAACATAGATGCTGTCAGACATATGACTTGGTTTCACAAAGTTAGCTGGAACAGCTAAGTCAGCAGGACCATGAGGGGGTCAGTGGTCAGCACCCCCCCTTTCCACATTCCCCCATGGTCACTCTCAGGATTCCAGGAAGGAGCATAGGCAGTGGGGAACAGGAGTCATGGGTACCAACTGGACAGAAGAAGCTGGGGGGCTTCTAGGAAAGGGTTGGGAGTCAGAATAACAGAATGAGCCTGAAGCAGGCTGGACAGGGGCCCAAGAAACCGCAGCAGCAGAGGTCAACGGTGGCACCATGGAGTCTAGGAGTGAGAACATGGCACCTCCCCACCAGTGACAGCAGCCAGGACTGCGAGTCCCTGAGCCGTCCCTGGCCCAGCGAGTTGCCTTGCCTGGGGCATCCAGATGATTTTCTGAGTCCGGAGGAAGTGATACATGGCTGAGAAGGTCTCATAACCCCCCTTCAGGATGTAGATGGGGTAGCGGGTGAGATGGACCAGGATTTTGCCAAACTCCACAGCAGCTCCAAGCACCAGTCCTGAGGATGGAGAGACAAGATGAATGTCCCCTGAGTGCCCACCATCTGCTGAAAGCTGGGACGGAAGTGGCTGCCTAATACTGAAAATAACTATTGAAGAAGGTGGAGCAAATGTATACACAGATGAACATTACCATTAAAATTTCAAAAGCAACTTGCCAGTAAGTCAATTGTTTCTTGCTCTTTAATGTAAAGGCTTTTGACCTTTTGGATGTCATAGATACTCAAATCATGGAGTCAAATTCAACATATCGCTGGCACTCCACTGGGTTTCTGAGGCTGTAAATTACATGAGAGAGTCCCCATTTTTCTATGCATCAGAGAGCTGCACAGTGACTAGGGATGATAGAAGAATTGATGCTTTTGAGCTGTGGTGCTGGAGAAGAGTACTGAAAGTACCATGGACTGCTAAGAGAATAAACAGGTTTGTCCTGGAGAGGGTGAAGCCGGGCTGCTCCATGGAGGCAAGGATTCTGAAGCTTCATCTGACATACTCTGGACATGTTGCAAAGAGGGACCAGTCCTTGGAGAGGGACATCATGCTTGGGAGGGTGGAGGGACAACGAAGGAGAGGAAGACCTTCTATGAGATGAATTGATTCAGTGACTTGGGTAATGGGAGTAGGTGGGTCAGAGCCAATAAGATTGGCACAGGACAGAGCAGGTTTTAGGGATTTGGGGGATCGCTGAATCACGGGTGACTCAATGGCACACAACAACAACAACTTTCTGATTGCTGCCATCCTATCAGACATGAGAGGGAGCTCTGGTGGCCTAGTGAGTAAAGAGGTATCAACCCAAAGGCTGAAGGTTCTAATCCACCAACTGGTCTGAGGAAGAAAGTGGGACAGTCTCCTCCTGTGAAACTCACAGCCTTCGAAAACCTACTGGAGGGTCACCTATGAGTCAGCTCCACCTCGATGACAGTGAGTTGGGTTTTTATTAGGTTGGGTTTTTTTTTAATGAAGTCAGTTATGAGTAATCCCCAGGTGATGCAAAAGGGTAATGCACCCAACTGGTAATTTAAAGGTTGGCAGCTGGAGCCCACCCAGGGGTGCCTCAGAAGAAAGGCCTGGCAATGATGTGCTGCAAAAAAATTAGCCCTTGAAAAGCCACTGCACAGTCCTTCTCTGAAACATGCAGGGTCACTGTGAACCAGATTGGATGTGATAGCACCTGAAGCTGGTGGATGTGAAGTGCTAAGTCACTGTGGTTTGAGTTTCACATCAATTTAATCTTAAACATCTTAACTGATCACTTTCAGGCTGCAATCAAACTAGACATGTTATTGCTGGGTATCTTTGAATCGGCTGTGACTCATAGTGACCCTACGAACCTGCCCTGTCCTGTGCCGTCCTCCTCAGTTCTGACACTCATGCCCACAGCTGCAGTCACTGTCTCAATCCGTGTCACTGAGGCGCTTCTCCTCTTTTGCTGATCTCTAACTTTCTAAGCATGATGCCCCTGTTCCAAGGAAAAGACCCTCTCCTAATAACAAATTGACAGGAAGTTTGCATAATTAGGGCAAGATATCCTGAGGTCAAGATCTGACCCAGCAAGAGATATTTTGTGTCACTGACTTCTGAGAGGCAGCCAGAGAGAAAAAGAGCAGGGCATAGATTCTGCCTTTGATACTAAGAAAGGCCCATTCCTGCAGGGGTTACTGAGCACACAAATGGTCGAGGACCTGTCTTAAGAGGCTGCATTCGAAGGAAGTGTCTGGGGCCTGCAGCCAGACTGGGAGAGAGGCTGGCCAAACAGGAGCCCAAGCCTGCTCCGGAGGGCCTGGTCACGAGGCTGAGTCCGGCCACTGAGACTCACAGCAAACGCCCCTCTTAAGCAAGAAGCTTCATAATGTCTGACAGATCAGCAGGCCCAGGGAGCTGAGGAGACTGTCCAACTGCCTTTAAGCCAAATAACTGTCCTTCCATTAATGTCACAAGACCCACTGGAGCCAGACTCACATGCAGGGATGAGGGAGCTCTGCTGTTAGGTGTTGCAATGCTAAATAAAAGGTCAGCAGTTCAAATCTACCCAACACTCTTCAGAGAAAGATGGACAGTCTCCTGCAAAGCTTTACACCTTTAGAAATGTGATGGATGGTCGCCATGGGTAACAATCTGGACAGCAGCGGGTCTGGGTTTGAGGGAGCCAGACTTCAGTCAGTCTTCATAGTTGAGCTTTGCTGGGTGAGACAAGAAGAGTCTCAACAATCCCCAAAACCTTCCATCAGAGCAAGAACCCAGTTCAGGGGTCTGCAATCCACACCCTTGTGAGGGCGGATTATCCGACATAAAGAAAGCTCTTTCTCACGCAAGGAAATTTAAGAGAAAGAATCTCAGAGACCAAGACAACAGAAGATGCAGCCTGGGTTCCCCTGGGTTCCTGAGACTCAGCACTCAAAACCCCCTCACTGGCCCTGACGTGGGCACGGAGGAGCTTGAAATCCCCAGCTGAGGGAAAGCTGGAAAGAAGGGAAGTGGGCAAGGGATGGAGTGGACCGTCTAAATTGGAGACTGAAGGAAGGTGCAGTAGGGCACCAGACAGCAGCGACAATTCAGTCCATGTCAGGGGTTATTAATAAAGATAACTCTTCTTTCTGTAACTGACCTCATTGTGACTGGCAAAGCCAGGCGGGAGGCCTGGGCAGGTGCACCCACGGCTGTGGCGGGAGCTCCCCACGAGTAATCAGCGCACTGCCAGGGTGAGTGAGCCGTACGTGAGCAGAGGACATTCCAAACCACAGGCCCGGCCAGGACAGAGGTCCACAGCCAAGTCCGCACAAGCCAAGCTACACATCACCCGGAGGCCAGCAGGAAAGGATGCCGGTGGACGACAGCACACACCTGCTTCTGGGATGGAGGAAAGGCCCTCCCTGTGCCCAGGCTTCCTGGAGCGTGGTGGGGTGAGTGCCACCCATGGAAAGGGCAAGAGGGCCTCGGGGAGAAGAACCTGGAAAAGGGCTTTCAGCCCAAAGACCTTACATTTACTGGAAAGAAACCATGTTCAACAAGGCAAGTAATTGGCTTGAGTGGCAAGGGTGTGTGTATGTGTGTGTTGTGTGTGTGTTGTGTGTTGTGTGTGTGTGTTGTGTGTTGTGTGTGTGTTGTGTGTGT